TTGCCTTCTAGCCGGCTTTTGCAACCGAGGATTATTATGCGATGCTTAATTTCTTGCTTCCTGCGGGATGTATTATTATTATTATTAACCCTCGGAAGAGTTTATTAGATTTTATTATTCAAGATTGTTGATTGAATCAAGAAATAGCTACAACTATCCAACAATTTTGTCAAAAATTGTTTAAACTATGAATCCGAATGGACCCGATCCCCACCGTCCGAGCGTGAATGCCTTTCCTCTTCCTGCATTATAATATCAAAGTATTGTGAATAATCATGAATAAATGGAGGACGGTCTGTAATTTCATATTCCACGTTTATCAGCTAACTCATTGTCAATTCCAGTTTCACCATGTGATAAACATTGACATGAAAATCCATAGTCGAAACCAAAAGATCCTACGCAAATACATTAGTCAATTGTTTATATATATATACGTTCTACTCATCAATGTTCCATCAATCGAATTTTCCCTTAATTGATCCTCCAATAATTAATCGCCTCGTTGATCGATGTCCGTTGATCATCGGGATTCCATTGTACGTCTCTCAAATAATAATTACATCACTGTTCCGTTCATAATTAAAATTTAACTATGAACGTGAATTGTTTTTTCATATCTACGTTTATCAGCAAAAATCGTATGAGATTTATATACACAAGTTATTAATACGGAGAATTTTTAGGGGACAATAATCAATTCTGCAGAACGCGACGAGGATCAACGGAGATCTCTCCAAATTGTGTACAACGAAAAACTGGGTCCTTTATGAAAACTGTATTATCGAATGTGAATGGAATAATTCAACGGAATCAATCGAATTTTCAAATATTCCATCGGATCTGTTCCCGATGTGTTTCGATATCTCTCCGTGCTGTATTTTTTTGCCAGTCTTCTCGCATTGTCATCGAGTTCGCTGATATTTCGAACAAAACTTCCGGTCGTGCAGAGAGATGTTAACAAATCGATCACTGCAATATTCGAACTGCTTCGGTACATTTATGTATAGCTCGACAAGGAACTACTTTGATTAAAAATTTCTCAACAAATAAACGATGGACGCATCTAACGAACGATGAAGTGTTTCCTCCACTCTATGACGATATTATTGATAATTAAAAAATTGATTTCCTTCAAGGAGAATCTGTTACAAGTGCGATTATATGAAGCAGAGTGATAAGTAGATTGTGAACTCTATGTATACATCTATGATAAAAATGAATAGATGAAATACAGAACAGTATTATCTTTGTACTATTTTATATTAAAATGATTCAGGGAAGAGCTTATTTTACAAAAATTCACAGTCTAGTGATGAGCTTCAAATAATTTATTATATTGCATATTATTATTTCTATTTTATTATTTTATTATATATTCTATGCTGGAAAAAGATAGTACAGAAGGAAATGTAAAGATCTCACAATCAAGAATGATTATAGCAACAGAACGTTGCAAATCTATAATCTATTAACGATTAATTAAAAAGTCAAA